ACACCACCTCTTCCTTTCCAGCCACTGCTAGTTCGCTGTCGTTGGGAGTCAGTGGACAGCTACACGTACACACAAACTACACAGGCCGTATCGTGGGAGGTGTGGAAGCCAGGCCAGGAGAATTTCCCTTCCAGGTGTTCCTCAGTGTCACGAAGGTAAACGGAAAGTAGTTTTGTAGTGAGTAAGATGATGATGATAATAATGATAATACTTATAGTAATAATAATGATAATATTAATAACAATAATCATAGTATGTATGAATGGGTGGGTTGATGAATAGATTTCGATAGATAGATAGATAGAGATTTAGATTTAGATTTAGTTTTAATTCCATTTGTTACAATGGATATTCTTTGCTGTGACTTACTGTGTCTGTTTTATTTTGCCCAAATCTCCCCCTGTGTGGCAAGGAGTGGGCGGGGATGCCACTCCTGGCTGGGCGTGGGATTGAACGCAGGTCTCTCTCTCTCCTCCCTCCTCTGTCTCTCCTCTCTCTCCCTCTCCCTCTCCAAACAGTTCGGGACTCAGTTCCTATGTGGAGGCGCCCTTTTAGACGAGTCCAGAGTCCTGACGGCGGCGCACTGTCTCGAGGGCGTGGCGGCTCCCGAGGACATCGTGGGCCGTGGCTGGAGAACACAATATCTTAGAGGAAGAGGGACCCCGAACAGGTGGATAAGGAATGTTCCGAAACGTTGGTGGTTTGGGGGTTTTGACGCGACGCGGTGGGGGGGGGGGGCTAAGTGTGTGTGGAGAGGGTCGTAGGTTTTTTATTTATTATTTTTTTTTTGTGTGTGTGTTTTTGTTGCGTGTGTTTTGTTTGGTGTTTTGGGTGTGTCTGGTTTGTTTGGTGTTTTGTGTGTGTCTTTTGTCTCTGGCTGTGTGTGTGTCCTCTCTGGCTGTGTGTGTCTCTGGCTGTGTGTTTGTCTATCTATCTATTTATTTCTCTCTCTGCCTCATTCCTCTCTCTTTCTCTCCCTCCTTCCTTCTCTCTCTCTCTCCGTCCCTCCCCTCTCTCTCCCTCTCCCCTTCCCCTCTCCCTTCCTTCCCTCCCTCCCTCCTCCCTCCTCCCTCCTCTCCCTCCTCCCTCCCTCCCTCCCTCCCTCCTCCCTCTCCTCCTACTCCTGCTCCCCCCCCTCCCCCCTCTCCTCCTCCCTCCCTCCCTCCTCTCTCTCCCCATTCCTCCCTCTCTCTCCTCTCAATCTCTCTCCTACCTCCTCCGCCCTCATTTCGACGCGACTCCAGCGCCACGGAGCCAGAGGCGGCGACCACGCGTCCTCCGTCGGGAAACCGCATCCTGAAGGCGATAATCGGTCGGAGGTTCCGTTCCGTTGCGTGATATTCCTCCTGCAGCGGTGACGGGGGTCTGGACGAGCTGGAGATGCTGTGTTGTGTGGTGTGTTTGCGTGTTGTTGTTGTGTGTGTTTGCGTGTGTGTGTGTTTGCGTGTGTGTGTGTTTTGTGTGTGCGTGTGTGTGTGTGTGTGTGTGTGTGTGTGTGTGTGTGTGTGTGTGTGTGTGTGTGTGTGTGTCTTTTTTTCCTCGATCTCTGTGTTTTTTTTTGGGGGCCTGTTTGTCTGTTTTTTTCTCTGGATGTTTCTGTCTCTGTTTCTCTGTCTCTGTCTCTATCTTTGTGTCTCTTTCTCTGTCTCTGTCTCTATCTTTGTGTTCTTTTTCTCTGTCTCTGTTTCTCTTCTCTTTTCTCTGTCTCTGTTTCTCTTTCTCTTTGTCTCTGTCTTCTTTCTCTGTTTGTCTCTGTCTCTTTCTCTGTTTCTCTGTCTCTTTTCTCTGTTTGTCTCTGTCTCTTTCTCTGTTTGTCTCTGTCTCTTTCTCTCTCTCTCTTGTCTTTCTCTCTCTTGTCTCTCTCTCTTGTCTTTCTCTCTCTGTCTCTCTCTCGCTCTCTCTCTCTCTCTCTCTCTCTCTCTCTCTCTCTTCTCTCTCTCTCTCTCTCTCTCTCCTCTCTCTCTCTCTCTCTCTCTCTCTCTCTCTCTCTCTCTCTCTTCTCTCTCTCTCTCTCTCTCTCTCTCTCTCTCTCTCTCTCTCTCTCTCTCTCTCTCTCTCTCTCTCTCTCTCTCTGTCTCTCTCTCTCTCTGTCTCTCTCTCTCTCTCTCTCTGTCTCCTCTCTCTCTCTCTGTCTCTCTCTCTGTCTCTCTCTCTCTCTCTCTATCTCTCTGTCTCTCTCTCTGCTCTCTCTCTCTCTGTCTCTCTGTCTCTCTCTCTCTCTCTGTCTCTCTTCTCTCTCTGTCTCTTGTCTCTCTCTCTCTCTCTCTCTCTCTCTCTTCTCTCTCTCTCTCTCTCTCTCTCTCTCTCTCTCTCTCTTCTCTCTCTCTCTCTCTCTCTCTCTCTCTCTTCTCTCTCTCTCTCTCTCTCTCTCTCTCTCTCTCTCTCTCTCTCTCTCTCTCTCTCTCTTCCCTTTCTCTCTTTCCCTTTGTCTTTTTTCCTTAACTGGATAACAATACCTTTGTTTACTATCTTTGTTTTTTCTCTTCCTTTATTGATTAGATAGTAACAGTTTCTTGTCATTCAATAACTAGCAAATATATTTTGTATAACGTTTTTTTCTTATTCTTTTGTTGTTTTTTTAACTTTTATTCATTAACTTGGTCATTTGTTTTTTATTACCATCTTTATCTTCCCTCCTTCCATTAATTGGATAGTATCATTATTTACGATTTTCTCTCTCCTTCATTCATTCCTTTTCTAATATTATCTTTGTTTGCCATCTCTCCCTTTCCATTCCTTCCTTTGCTAACAAATATCAATATCATACCAATTATTGCTAACAAAGCTATATCAGTATCATACCAATTATCCATTCAATAGTAATTTCTTTTTTCATATGCAAGGAGCGGCCAGTGGTTGCAATGATTCCTCATGAGGCTTATCAAGGAGATTCCAAATTGGGCGCCGATGTTGCTGTGTTGCAGGTGGGTGTATTGCGCAGGTTGGGGGTTGCGGTGTGTGGGTGGGTGGGGGGTTGGGTGGGTGGGGTGTGTAGGCCTAGGTATGGGTGGTATGGTTTTACTTTTTTATGATGGTATTGGTTTTTTTTTTTTTTTTTTTTTATTGTGATTAGCGTTATTATTATTGTTGTTGTCATCATCATTATTATTTTCATTGTTGTCATCGTTGTTATCATCATAATCATAATCATCATCATCATCATCACATCAGGATGATTATCATCAGGAGCATTTTATCATTATCCTCATCAGCATTACCCTCATCATTATCACATCAGTACCATTACCATTATCACCATTTCTACCATCGCTACCCTTACATTATGATTACTATTATCAGCATCACAATCATCATTACCATAATTATCATCATCAACATCAATCATTATCATCATCATCAATCATCATCATTATCATCATCATCATCATCATCATCATCAATCATTTATCATCACTATCCTCCTCCTCCCCATCATCATAATCATCATCATCACCATCATCACAATCTAACACAGAACATCTCTACAGTGAAATAAATTCACTGCATTTGCCTTCGTCTTCAGGTAGCTCCTCCCTTCACCCTGGGGGAGCGGGTGTCCGTGGCCCCCTTGCCAGACGTGGGCTATGACCCCCCTGCAGGAAGTACTTGCACGATCTTGGGCTGGGGCACCACGGCAGAGGTGAGAGAGTATGTTGCAAGATCACTATCGCGTGTGGAGTGTGAGTGAGTGAGTGAGAGTGAGTGAGTGAGTGAGTGAGTGAGTGAGTGAGTGAGTGAGTGAGTGAGTGAGTGAGTGAGTGAGTGAGTGAGTGAGTGAGTGAGTGAGTGGTGAGTGAGTGAGTGAGTGAGTGAGAGAGTGAGAGTGAGAGAGTGAGAGAGTGAGAGTGGGAAGAGCGTGAAAAATATGGGGAAAAAAGCGTCACAGAGGCCAAAGAAGAGAAAAATGAGAATCTATGTTGCAAGATCACTGTCGCATGTGGAGTAAATGTGTAAGGGAAAGGGGGAGGGAGGAATGGGGGGATACATTACGTGGAGGTAAATGTACGAGTAGATTTGGGTGTTGGGAGGTATTTCCTGATTTTTAGGAAATGTGAAGTGATGTTGGTGAATTTGCATGTGAAGTGATGTTGGTGAATTTGCATGTTGGTGGGTATTTCTTGGTAAGAGAATGTTATGTGGTATTGGTGGGATGTCCATCGAAGGTATATTTCTGCGTTTTGTATTACACTATTTGGATTTTATTTTCTCGTGTGAAATGTAGTGCAGTTACACCCTGCCCTGCGACCAACTTCACAAGGGGGAATGGGCGGTCCCTGATATTAACACAATTTTTAGTGTATTCGGGTTATATTTTAGGTTCATATCACTATAAACTTGATGTTACTGAGGGACTGAAAAGTTCCAGATGCCAGAAAAATAAAAAATGGATGAGAAGTCGACTTAGAGAGCACAATTCCCACCAAAGTTCAGATGCCAGAAAAAATGGATGAAATACGACTTAGAGAGAATTCCGCAAAAGTTCTCAGACTGTTCTCGCTACAAAAATGAAAATGAGTAAAAAATGAGGAAAATCCTGTAGGCTTGGGAGTCCTACTTGAATGGCGTGACGAAGACGTGTAAAAGAAGCCGGCGACCAGACCCCAGGCTCGTTACCATGGCAACCCCGGGAGAGACGACACTAATGACTCAGTAATTGAAGGGGTTGCGGCGAGTGAGTGGTCAGTCTCCCGGCTAACCAAAAGTCATGGAAGCTGACTTACGTAATGACTAATAGTAGTATTTTTAGTTCTCGACCTCCGCCGCGAAGGAAGTACAAGGTCAAAACCCCAAACTAATTAAAACTGCCTTTTTTCACATAATATTAGTATCTTTAGTAAGTACAAGGTCAAAAACCTAACCGACAGACACAGATATTGCTATACTCGTTTAGCGTTGGTATTGCCAGTCTATATATCAGCAAGGTAGTTTTTCCTATAGCATTTGTAATAATTATGTCAGAGAAGAATTCTTTAATTCACTTTTTTATCGGTTCCATGCATTCTAGTATAATGTAGGCCTATAATTTTACGAGAATTTGTGTGGATTTTATTCTTGCTAGTTTCATGTGAAATTTGCATTTCTTCACTATGTCTGCTTTGTGATATCTGTTTGCCATCATGTTAGTTACGTCAGGTGTAAAAAACAAACCCAAAATTTTGCTTAGATATTGTTTTTTTGACGAGATAACACGTGATAACATCGTCTTCCCAAAAGTTACCAGTGCTCTGACCACTGGTAAAATTTACCATGGTAATTCCAATGGCAAGTTGTTATTGAATACCACCGCTGTTTGTTTACCATGGTAGTTATGGTAACCAGGTGATTTTACCATCGTCAGTGCGTTAGTGAATGCGGGCCCTGTTTTTCTCTTTCTCTCTCTCTCTCTCTCTCTCTCTCTCTCTCTCTCTCTCTCTCTCTCTCTCTCTCTCTCTCCTCTCTCTCTCTCTCTCTCTCTCTCTCTCTCTCTCATAACCCCTGGCTTTTTTTCTCTCATAACCCCTGGCTTTTTTTTTTTCACTTCACAACCCTGACCTCCAAGAGTGGCTCGGTGTCTCCCGTGCTCCTGAAAGCAACCTTGCAAGTGGAGGGACGTGACGTCTGCAAGGAGATCATCAGCGGCTCCAGACCCACAGCTGTTGTCGACTCCTCTGTTATCTGCGCAGGTGGCGACGGTGTCCACGATACGTGTCAGGTGAGAAAGATGTGTATTCTTGGCGGTTCAGTGTAGTGCACGGATTAAATAAGGCTTAAATTAAATTAAATAAAGATTAAATAAGGATTAAATAGGTCGAGAATACCTGATGAAGTTGTAATGTCGAAAACTTTATACAATGAAGGAACCATAGGACTATATTTGAAATATTTTAAGTGTCAGGTTATCATCGAATACTTTTTTGTTGAAGTCACCCATTGGATTTTTAAAGAGTCTGTGCTTATCAGAACATTTAAACAACGTATAAGATATAGAGAACAATAGGGTTACATGATATAGGAAGACAGTTCGTGGGAGTTAGAGCAGCATAGAATTCACCACATGAGGCAGACGTAGTTACGTTGGTATAAACACATGACACTTGTTGAGTCGTTAATATTGTCTACGTATTTTGCACCTGTGGGGCTTACGGATGAATATGTATATGGTAAGTCACTTAGGGATACTTTATATTAATTAGGAGGATTCTTTCTCATCTGTAACTTTCCAAATCATAAAGAATCGTTCAGGAAAGAATATATATAGTAGTTCTTATCACGTTTCATAACAACCGCCCTTCTTATATGGAATAACTCGCTCTATTTTTTTTTTTCATTACGATAATATCACCGACTCTACAATATCAGCCGGTTTGTTAAAATTATGAATATTCGCATACTTGATATATGCATAAGTAAAGAGATAAATGCATATTTTTCAGTCTAGACACGTGTATCAACCGCGCAAATGGATAGATAAATGTATATTGATCAGATATATAGACCGATATGCATTTATTTCTGTGTATGTGTATGTCTGTATTTATGAACGTTCATTAGGTCGGACCTCGCACAATTCTAACAAACCGGCCGTATAACTCCAAAAACCAACGGAAAACCATTCGCTCTTCTACCACGCTGTTCTCCATTCTCTCTCTCGTGTCACCATACTACTCCCTATATGGCCAACCTTTTCATTCCTACGTCGCCAACAAAGAGCAACAGTATTGACAATATATAAGGAAAAATGACTGCAGTCGATATAGAATGACACAAGAAGTATCCTAAACCAAATAATAATAATAATAATAATAATAATGATAAAAAAGGAAAGGAAAAGAAAGAAAAAGCAACAACAGACAACTCAGACTGTCAAATCAGCTGTTCCCATTTCATTCATAAAAATAGCATCACTCTGTAGGAAAGTTATGAATGAGAACGAAGATCTTCACAATACGAGAGATGTACTTAACCGGTTTCGAATATATCTTCGTCGTATTTCCCAACTAAACCGGTTTAAATACAATCCCATATATTAAGATACTCATTCTCGTTCACATTTCTACATTCGCCGCAATAAATAGGATTTAAAACATATTTAACACATATTGAGATATTCATTCTCGTGCATTTTTCTCCACATTCGCCGCAATAAATTAGATTCGAAATAACATTTGCTAACGCCCTTTTTCTCGCTTCTAGGGGGACTCCGGTGGACCCCTCTACTGCGATGGGGTCGTGGCTGGGGTGGTGTCCTGGGGTCTCGGCTGCGCTCGCCCTGGCTTCCCTGGGGTCTACACGAACGTCGCCCATTGGCTGGAATGGATCAATGGACACCGGGTGTAGGTCCCGGATGTGAATGGATGCGGGAAATCACGTGTTAAATTCATTCATCTTTTTTTTTTTTTTTGGGGGGGGGGTGGGGGTGGGGGGTTGTGGGTTGTGGGGGTTACTGTTATAGGGGATGGTAATAAAAAGTTGGAATTAGTATTATTGTTATTATCATTATTATCATCATCAATCATCATC